TTAAATAAATGATACGAAGATTTGCGGACAGTATTTTAGTTTATTTATATTTATAGCTGAAAATTTAGTTTTTTGAAAATTCAAATAAATATTTTTTCAATAACATTTTTTAATTTTTCCTATTTTGATTTTTTTTTTTAAAGTTGAAGCATTTTTTTTATGGAAGTTAATAATATAAATATGAAAATAAGACAAAATGAGATCAAAAAAAAGCAATGAAAGACAAAAAAAAACAAAAGAAATTGTTTGCATTTATGATTGAAACATTTTTTAAAACTTAAATTAACGCAAAATTTTTTAAAAAGTATTTTACTGCTTTCTTTTTAAATTTGAAAATACCTTCATATTAACAAGAAAAATATTTGTCGCAGATTCCTCATTCCATCGTGTCATTTCAATTCTTCTAATTAAGCTCTAAAGAAAAAAGTGTGACAATTCTCTGAAATAATTGGTATCAATAATTGTTAATAATTGTTCATAAAAATCTCTATTTTCTAATATCAATGTTTAAAAAAATTTTGGTTAAAATATTATTCTTTCTTTCATTATTTTGTTGTACTTTTAAAAGTTTAATTTATTTTAATAATAATAACAACAACAACTAAAACAGTTATTTAAACAAAAATCCTTTTTCAGTGCATTTTCTTGCCATAATTTTAAACAACAAAAGTCGAAGTTCAATTTTTTTATTCTGCTAATAAATGATTTCACCTTGTAATAATGTATATTTCATGACAACTAGTTTTGAAGTGATTATCATTACAACTCCCAAAGATTGTAAAAAATAAAAAATGTGCTAAGCTCATTTTAAATTCAAAAAATCAACATTAACATAAGGTGTAATACAAATATTGATTTATACTTTGATATTACTTTTAAAAGTAAATTTGTTCATTCATTGAATGAAGAATTTTTTATTTTTTGATGAATAGTTCGTTTTCTCTTTTATGCTTTCATTTTAAATCTTTGAATTTGTAAAATCTTTGAAAAAATAACAAATTTAAATTTTTTTTATAATAATTATAACATTTCTGTTGCAATTATTTACCATTTCGTTGCAAAATTCATGCACATTCTTTACTTCAATTTTCACTGATATTAGCGCACAGACACTTATACTTGCAACTTTTGCGCTCAAGAAAATAACCTTTTTAAAAAATAATGTAATTTAATTTGTTGAGAAAAATGATTGTAGCAGTTAGAAGACTTTTGGCTTTCTACGAACATTTAACTTAACTACGAAAAACAAATTTTTAAATTTAACTCTCTCTCAGCAGATTTTAGCTCAAGTGATACTTTATTGAAGTGAAAAAGACATTACTTTAGGTTTTAGTAAAAATGTGAATGAAAAGATGAAACGGACGAATGGCGCAAAACGTCTCATTGCAATTTCTCATTTCGCAGATAAGAAAAAAAAATCTTTTTTTTGCCTTTCAAAATTTCGGTGACTAATCGTTGAAACGAAATTAATTAAATTTGGAGCGATGATTGTTTGTCAACTAAAATTTAATATTTTCTCTTTTTCTTCGAAATATTTATGAAGCATTTCAAAGATTTATTGATGAAAGTAAAGTTAGGTGTGATGAATCGATATTAGCTATTCTCGTTTGTTCTTTAGCTTTTCTTAAGTTTACAATCCTTTTTGCTTTCTTTTTTGAGAGCAAATTATTTATATTATTTATTGTTACACTGAGCGCTGAAGTCGAAAGGATATTCAAAACATCGAAAATTTCATATTTTTGAACTTTCATTCAATGCGAATTGTTTGCGCTACTTTTCTTCTTTTTTTGAAAATAGCAATTGATAGTTACTAATTTATATTCCCTACTTTCAATCATTTTACCTAACTTACGTGGCGGTTTTTGCAACCTAAGTTTTTTTTACTATATAAAATTCTGTAGGAAAATTATTCTTAGTTCTACTATTAATGCTTTACAGATATGAAAAAAATGGCGCTATTTTGATAAAATGCGCCAAAGAAGAAAAAAAATTTCTTTTATCATAAAAGCTACTTAGATTTGAATATATTTGTCACAGCACACTTTTCCAGTAAGTAAAAACTATCGAACAGTTCTTTCCTTGTTTCTGTCCATTTGTCATTATTTGTGATTCCAATATTTGATGAATTTAAATTGACGATCAATTCTATTCTTTCATACATGAAACTAAAATAAATTTATTTCATGCAACAACAACAATAATAATAATAATAACATTTCATAATTTCTTCATTATAAATGAAAATTGTTCGCAACCGTAAACTTCTTTAAATGATGTCGTACAATTGATGATTTCTATTAAATTTTGCATCTTTTTTTTTTTTTTTTTTAAACGGCAATTTTGTAAAAACTGCCATTAAGAATTCGTATTACTAAGAATTTTCTACTAACAATTTCAAACTTTTTGAAGTCTCATTTTTTCTCAATCTAATATTTTCATTTTCTTTTCAAAAAAGAAAACTTCAAAAAGTGAAATCAGTAGCATCGTCATAAGTAAGAAAAAAGGAAACATTCTGCTTGTGATAATGGTTTTGACAATACTTTTGCATCTCTCTCATTGATTAGTCAAAAAATGATAACAGTGAATGATAAAAAGTGATATCAAAAAAAAAAAAACTATTATTATTGTTGTTATTATTGTTATTATTTTTATTATTTATTTATTACATTATTATTTTATGTAATCATATTATCATTTTATAGCTAAGCATTTTATGGCACAGTAATAAATTGTCAATCAAATTCCATAAAATAATAAAACTTCAATGATTGTTTCTTTTTTTTTGTCGTATTTTATTCTACCGTACTTTGGAATGTTATCAATGTTTATTTGTAAACAATAGTTATTTCATTAATTAATTTTCTATTTTTAATTAAATTTAAACATAAACAACACTTCTGGAAAAGTTAATTACTTCATTTTGAAACATTTTTATCAGATGAAAAAAAATGAAAGTATTCCTTCTATTCGGAACTTTTTTCGTTTTTCTTAATGCTCATTTCAAAGTTTTTTGCAACTTTTATAAGTGTCAAAAAAATTTCATAAACTGAAAGTATTTGACAAATAACTGCAATTTGTTTCATTTCCTCTGCGGAACTTTCTTATTGTGGAAGAAGTGATGTCATATGTTTGCGACAGGACTTCCCAAGCCAGGTAAGAAAGGAAGGTCAGAGAAGGTATTTGGATAGGTAAGATAGACTTAACTTCGGGCAAGGAAAGCCAAAAGTTCAAACTCGGGCAAATGGAGCCTTGCAGGGCCATCCGACATCAGAAATTGTCCAAATAAACCTGCGCTCTAAGATTTCGCTGCCACTGTTCAAGTGCTAGGTTTGGCAGACGTACTTCACGTTGCAACTTGTCTACTCGAAGGATATACTAATTTTCTACGAACAGTAAAGGTCAACGGGACATTGCCGCTTTCAATGAAAGAATGTGGTGGGTCACGTACTTCGGTCAGATTAATCTAAAACCAAACTTTCTATTCAGCAGTTGGCTTCAAGAATTCTGTCATCTCGAATCTTGTTATTTGCTGATAGGTCAATCTTGTTAACTTGCTGATAGGTCAATCTTGTTAACTTGCTGACAGGTCAAACTTGTTAACTTGCTGATAGGTCAATCTTGTTAACTTGCTGATAGGTCAATCTTGTTAACTTGCTGACAGGTCAATTTTGTTAACTTGCTGACAGGTCAATCTTGTTAACTTGCTGACAGGTCAATCTTGTTAACTTGCTGATAGGTCAATCTTGTTAACTTGCTGATAGGTCAATCTTGTTAACTTGCTGACAGGTCAATCTTGTTAACTTGCTGACAGGTCAATCTTGTTAACTTGCTGACAGGTCAATCTTGTTAACTTGCTGATAGGTCAATCTTGTTAACTTGCTGATAGGTCAATCTTGTTAACTTGCTGACAGGTCAATCTTGTTAACTTGCTGATAGGTCAATCTTGTTAACTTGCTGATAGGTCAATCTTGTTAACTTGCTGATAGGTCAATCTTGTTAACTTGCTGATAGGTCAATCTTGTTAACTTGCTGATAGGTCAATCTTGTTAACTTGCTGACAGGTCAATCTTGTTAACTTGCTGATAGGTCAATCTTGTTAACTTGCTGATAGGTCAATCTTGTTAACTTGCTGATAGGTCAATCTTGTTAACTTGCTGATAGGTCAATCTTGTTAACTTGCTGATAGGTCAATCTTGTTAACTTGCTGACAGGTCAATCTTGTTAACTTGCTGATAGGTCAATCTTGTTAACTTGCTGATAGGTCAATCTTGTTAACTTGCTGTTGGGTCAATCTTGTTAACTTGCTGATAGGTCAATCTTGTTAACTTGCTGATAGGTCAATCTTGTTAACTTGCTGATAGGTCAATCTTGTTAACTTGCTGATAGGTCAATCTTGTTAACTTGCTGATAGGTCAATCTTGTTAACTTGCTGATAGGTCAATCTTGTTAACTTGCTGATAGGTCATTCCAACCGCATTATCTCCTCCTTACACCTCCATTGCAAGCAACACACTGTCCTTGTCAACATACATACCTTAACTCTTCACTGACCCTCCACAAACAACTAAATTCTACAGCGACTTTCGTCGTCTCAACCGGAAGTGTTCTGCAGACAACAAAATTGCAGTTCTCGGTGATTTAGAGCCAAAGTAGGAAGTCTGAGACCTGAAAGGGGTGAATAATCATACTGCCGGACTACAATGATAACGGCCATTCCTGCCAGAATTCACGGAGCAGCACGCATCGCAATTTAACAAAAAGGCCTGAAAATGGATCTTTGATTCAAACATTGTACGTTCCGGCTGTATCGGTCGTATCACAGTGCAAAATGCCGGAAAGACCAGCGCCTTGTGTTGTGAAGCCTAGAAGAGGGGACACTTCAAGAGAGAGAGAGAGAGAGGCGCAAAGTGAACAATCTAAAAATTGCAGTGAGAGACACAAGTTGCGCACTAACCTACCCATGGACCCACTCATTGCTGCACTTTGCCGAAATTGCTTCAATGAGTGATGCACAGCCATCAGTCATCGTTGCTCGCTCATTCGTTCCTGCAAGTAACTTTGCGACATGCACGGGTCGTGCGACTGATGCTGAAACATGCACGAGTCGTGCGACTGATGCTGAAACATGCACGAGTCGTGCGACTGATGCTGAAACATGCACGAGTCGTGCGACTGATGCTGAAACATGCACGAGTCGTGCGACTGATGCTGAAACATGCACGAGTCGTGCGACTGATGCTGAAACATGCACGAGTCGTGCGACTGATACTGAAACATGCACGAGTCGTGCGACTGATGCTGAAACATGCACGAGTCGTGCGACTGATGCTGAAACATGCACGAGTCGTGCGACTGATGCTGAAACATGCACGAGTCGTGCGACTGATGCTGAAACATGCACGAGTCGTGCGACTGATGCTGAAACATGCACGAGTCGTGCGACTGATGCTGAAACATGCACGAGTCGTGCGACTGATGCTGAAACATGCACGAGTCGTGCGACTGATGCTGAAACATGCACGAGTCGTGCGACTGATGCTGAAACATGCACGAGTCGTGCGACTGATGCTGAAACATGCACGAGTCGTGCGACTGATGTTGAAACATGCACGAGTCGTGCGACTGATGCTGAAACATGCACGAGTCGTGCGACTGATGCTAAAACATGCACGAGTCGTGCGACCATGCCGCACAGGTGCACAGTGCTGTTCTCACCTGAGATGGTCGCTTTCTTCTCACAGATCAATCCAACAACTGATGAGAAGTAAAATGGACGTATGCGCCAATTTGGAAGAGACTCTTAAGCAGATTTGGCAAGACAACTGCGCTTGATAAAATCTCTTCCGAAGTTGGAATCAGTTTAAATTTTACAATCTTACTGTGAACTAATCACTCTGAACTGTTACGGCACTCCTGAAACGTTTTTTAGCCTAGGACATTGGTGACCTCTGGCCTCGAGTAGGACAAAGAGAGAGAGAGAAAGAGAGAGGCACAGAGAATGTCTGATGAAAAGACAGAGCACTATGTGACCTTTGGCTGTGTTTTGCGATCGATGTTTCGACCCTGTCGCAAGTCGCTTTCTGGAGGAAAGCGACGTAATAAATTAGTTAATTGCACTTAGTTCTTCACCTGACACTGTCATTGCTCTCCAACACTTATTCTTATCAGTGTGACACTATCTTAGTGGCACTTTCCTTCATTTATTTTAATTCACTCATTAAAGTGATCTCTGTACTATGATGTCACTCTCTCATATTATTGCTTCATTGATACCAAATAGATTGTTCTAAAAAAGGTGAAAAAGAAGAAGTAGAAAAGATGAGGAAATTATTGTTCATAAGAAGATTAAATGTTATCAGAAATGGAATTTATGGCACCTCATATCATATTCAATAAATATACAGGTAAAAAATGCAGGTAAAGGGGTCTCTTTTAATGAGTAATAATTTAAACGATAAAATTATGGGGTTAGTATTATATGAAAGGTACGGCAAACGCGCTAAATTTGACAATTTTTCTTTTTTAAGTTGACACATTTTCAGTTCTGAATGTAATGATTCTTTGGAATTATTAGACAAAAGAAGGTAAGCAGAGGTACTGATAAAGAAAGGTGTTGAATATCATAGCAAGTTTAAATTACTTTAATTTTGATAAGCAAATGATTTGCTAAATAACTTTTACAATTCTTTACTTAACTCTTTTTTTCTTCCACTATATTCTTTATCAGTTCTTATCTTATCTTCTTTATTCTTGCTAGAATAATTATTGAAAGTGAATTTTGATCAAGCATTTTATTTTTAGTCTCTAATTAGTCACCAATTCATTTCTCCATTATTGATCTAAACGATTTTATTGATTAATTTTTCACCATCACTCTTTTACCACTCATTCATCTTTTACTTTTGATGTTTGTTTTTTACCTATTCTTCCTTGTACTTTTTAAATTTTTGTCATTACTGATTACTGCCAAATATGATTCTGGCTGATATCTTCAATTTCTTACTATTTTTTTTTTTACCATTCATTTAAATTCTTTTTCTCATTACGATTTATAATCATTTAAATTAAATTTAAGTTTTAAGAATACTATTTGATTTCCAACTAAAATTAAAACTATTTCAATTTCAGAAAAAGCTTAACTGTTAATCTATTTCAATGTTTCATTTCTTGAAATGTTTTGGCAAATAAACAAATATTGGCGGCGGCGACATTCAGCGCTACGAATATTTACTATTTCTTTACGGCTAATATTCTCTCTTACACTACTGTTTAGTGAGTCGGTTTCACTTCCTAATTGGAGTAAACATTCCTCTGATTACGACCAATTAATTACTGAGAAGAGCTTGCGACTAGCAACAATGAGAAATGCGACAAGCGACAATGACACTCATCTGAGAGACGACGTAAATATTCTCTCTAATTCACATTTTTCTTCATACCTTTCCTCTGGGATACATGGGTTATTGATTGTTTACTTATAGCAAATATGCAAATTAAAAAAAGAAAATTAACACAAAAGATTATTTTACTCCAAAAATTTTGCACTTGAAAAGTGTAAGAGGTAGTAAGATTGCATTAAATTTTTCAAAATCAAAAACAAAAGTTCGTTCTTCTTCAGTTTGCTGTAAACTAGTTTAATGTTTAACTTCATCATGTCAACCCATAAAAAAATGTTACTTTAACTTCTATGTGAAATTCAAATAGTTTTAAAAAGTGACTGCAAAAACTTTAATCTAACATATAGTTATACTGTGTATTGTTGAAAAAGCTCTGAATTTTTTCTATAAAATTATAAAAATTAAATAATAGACAATTTCACATGGCAGAGCTAAAAAAGTGAAACATCTGACATATATATTTCAAATTTCAAAGAAAAGTAATTAACTGATTTCAGTATGAATCAATTAAACTTAATTCGACAATGTCGCATCATAAATCATTCTATACATTGAATAATAAGGAAGTTGTCGATATAACTGATCAAGTTTATTCTAATGTTTCAATTGAGAGTATTCGAAATATTTCGGAACAGCAATTCCGTAATTTTTTAAAAGGAATACTTCAAAGGCATTTGGAATTAGCACGAAGGAAAATTGCTTATCCAAATATTTTTGCTACAACTAATAATTATGTTTATCAAAATAATAGAAGTAAGTATTCCTATTGATTTTTTCTAAACAAAATTAGAAAAGTTTTCATGAAATTTGATTTAAATCTTTTTGTAAATTTGATTTGTTTGTTTTTTTTTTGCAAAATTTGATTTCAAGTTTTGTTTGTCTGTGATTCAAATGTAGCAAATTATTCGACATTTAGGCTAAACTTTTTTTTTCGAAAGTCTTTTTTTCGAAAAATACTTTTCAAGGATGTAGAATATGAGGTAAACCATAATTTAAGATAAATTAAATAGAAGCTTTGAGTTAGCCATCATTTCTAAAACTATAATAAATAAGTATTCACGTCAGTTACGAGTCATTCAATAGTAGATGACTGACGTGATAATACGCAATGATTGACGTCGAGAAAAACTTTTTTAGATGTTTTTAATGTGAAAAATTTATTTTTAATTATGATTTAACTGTGACTATCCTCAATTTTTGTCGTTTTTTGTAATTTAGTAGGCTGCCAGATGGTTTGTCAATTTATCTCATTTTGCATCATAGTTAGTGGCATTTGTTTATTGTGGACATGTACCTGTTGTACACAATCAAGGAGTGTCGATGACAGCGATGAGAGCCTTTGTGGTTAATATTTTCCATAATTTTCTAATAGTTTGAAATTTAAATTTAAATTTAAAGAAATTCGAAAAGAATTTTTTTCTCTCAAATTTAAAGAAACAAAAAGAAAAAATTAGTGTTTAGACTTATAGGAGATCTCATGACCGCCGCTCAATAAATAATAAATGCTTTAACAAACTTTTCTGTTTTATCATTTTATCACTTTTCTTTTTTCATTTAAGTAAATATTGCATTTATTATCACAAATTAATTGGTCTGAATTATCATTTTAGCATATTTATCGTTTAGCATTGCACAATTTTCGCATACTTACTGCAATTACATATTATTTTCATATTTACAACTTTTTCCAATTCCAAAATTAATGATGCAATAGACGAAATTTTTGTAACTTCACATTTTGTATATTTTAGATTCTAAAGTTTAATTGTGTTTTTTTCAATTCAATATTTTTAGGTATAACTGAAGACTGGATGAGGCCAATTCTATTTCAGGCGTTAATCCGGCCAGTGTTCCAGCCCCAATTGATTATAGTAAGCCATATATGATCAAATGTGACTCACAAGGCTCTTGCTATGCTAGTCCACTGAACGATGATGAAGTACCGCCGTTGCCAAGCTATAATAAAGCGCTCAGTTGTCCAACCCATCCATTTCCTAAAATTCAAGAATTATCTAAATCAGATTGTGTCTGATAAAATTATGCATTCAAACATAGAAAATGCCAAAAATGAAAATGTCATTCAATATTTTCTAAATCTCTCATATTGGTACTAATTTATTAGCGCCGTTCTTTGATAATTTCAAAAAATCATAAACAAAACAAACAGATTCATTCATCCATCGTTTTTTTTTTTTTTGTATTTTAATCGATGCGAGAACAAAATAATTAGTTCATAACTGTAAATAAATTTTAAATAATTATGGTTAATTTGAATACACACTTCTCTAATGAAAGAAGTGACCGACACAATTAGGAATGACTAACATAATCAATAATGACCAACAAAGTCAAGAGTGACCAACACAGTTAAGAGTGACCAACACAATTAAGAGTGACCAACGCAATTAAGAGTGACCGACACAATTAAGAATGACCAACGCAATCAGCATATTTTTGCCGAGGAAAAAGGATGTTGTTTATTCTTATGGCGCAGAAAAACTAATTCGAGAAATCTTGAGACTCGAGAAATTCTTAAAAAGAGCATTTTCTGCAAGGTTTTCGAAAGTGCTAGCGAGACTGCAAGACCGTGCACTCAATTTGTTGTTACCTTTGAACTATTAATTATAAATCGTTATTATAACAAATTAGTTTTTTTCTGTCAATTGATGGCATTGCAATTTCTCTTACATTTCCATGGTTTTCTAAATATAATTTTTCAAGAAATAATTCCATAGAGGTCCAAAAAGTTCTACTAGCACCTGACCACCTGGCGAGGAGCCTCTGGTCATCTAGTTCGTTTGATGATGCAAGGTAGACTTGAAAATCACTTTAGATCTTTCCTCTTTTCTGTGCGGGTTAATAATCTGTTAGTCGCTGACATTTCTAAACTGTAACTTTTTCGGTTGTGAATTGTGAATGAGCTCAAAAGCCACCCACCCACCTATTCACTTCTCTAATTTACCTGAAATACCGAACAAACGTGTAATGACCAACGTTCCAACCTTATCAGCAAATTGCGAGACAATAAATGCTGTCCACTTGATCATAACTCTTTGTCTATTGTACCCGAACAATTGCTGTTGTTACCTTTGCCCCTAATTTATGTCATATTGCAGTTTATGGGAAGAAGTAACAAATAAGGTAATGATCGATGAAAAAGAACGATATTTATGGATAATTGATTGGAAAGAACAAGAATTTAAGTTGAGTAGAAAATTAGTTACTTTAGGTAAGCCATGACTAAGTACTTCATTTTTTAAGGCTTTCTAATGATAGCTGGTTGTATTATATCAGAGTTATCATTATCAGAGTATTATCTTTCTGAACTCTTTTTTCAATCGTTTTTATTTACAGTTTCGGCAGCAATTCATTCAAGCAGAGTTCATTTAAAGAATTCACTTAATTTGCGCTGTTTCTCAGAAGAAGTTATAATTTATGACTCATTGTAGTTTACTAATAAGTCGAAAAGTAATTGTCTTTATCTAATTAGTAATTTAACTAATTACTCATTGTCTGTGGAATATTTAAATCATAAAATACCTTACTTATATGTTTATATTAACATTTCCTCTTATTTTAAATTGATCATTCAGTTCAGAATAAAAGACAGTTGCATTAGTTATAAATGAATTTTTATAATCTTTTAACAATTTTTTCTTTTTAGTTTTTCAGACCATATTTTTGTTATTTTATTTTTTTTTACTTTTTTTACTTTTCAATTATTCTGGCAAAGACTCTTCTAATTAAGAAAAAATTTTTGGTAAAGAAAAAAGTAGCAAAGAGATTAATGTAAGAAAAGTTTTTCATATTTTGTCACTTATTTCTTTCGCTGATAAAGGAGTTAAGTAGTAACTGATAAGCGATTTCTTTGCCTTTTCGGTTAATGCTGTAAGAGTGATATGATTCCGGCTGATATGATAAGCTTTTTTGATATAAATCTATTAGCAATGCAAAATTTTTTCCCATTTTCTTTCAAACATAACTGCTAAAACCGCAAATTGTTCATTTGGACATTTTGCTAAATTCAAATTTATAAATTGTAAATTTAAATCGAACAGACATTTTATTTATATTGTGTGTTGCACGGTGGTCGAATATTAAAAAGGTTTGTGATACTTGCAAGTTTTTTGTAAGCGTTAATAGATAAATAAATTGCTTTGAAAATTATTGAAATTTGGCATTGATTTGATCAATAAAACTTTTACGAGGAATAAAATCTAAAAATATTGCAAAAAGTTGAATTTAGAAGAATTTAATTAACTTATTTTTAAATGTTCATTTCTCTCCTAGTTTTGATCAGTGTCAGTGTTCAAAGAATGTTTCAAAGTCTAACTTTAATCAGAACAACTAGAATAATCTTTGTTTAGTTTGAATTCTGACAAAAAAACGGGCGGAATTGGGAAGAATTAGAGTGGGTGAAGAGGAAGGGCGGTGTTGTCATGGCCGATGTCGAAGTGATTCCAAAGGAAGAGGCGGTAAATTTGCTTGCAAATGGTTTGCATCGTAATATTGATTAGAATGTTATTGCTTATATGTTTAGAAGAGTGACAGAGATTTATTTCATTTTTTTATTTGAATGAAACAAATGAGAAAAGATGGATGGATGGAAAGGATCTATTCCACTTCTGAATTACTTAAGTTTTTGTTGAATTTAATTGAATCAATCAATTCTTTCATTACCATTTCTTCTTCTATTGCTCTGCTCAGTTATGTTATTGATTTCAAAAAAAGAGAGAAAAACTAATTTCAAAAACTTTGTAAATCAGATAATTTAAAATATGACAGGGCAAAGTTAATTTAAAATATGCAAAACGAAGTCATCGGCATGGACGACATGCTCCACAGTATTTTAAAGAAGGACAAATAATTGATTGTAAATTTCGAATCGATAAAATGATCGGTGGTGGTGGATTTGGTCAAATTTATCGTGTCACCGATGAAGTAAATTTTTCTAGTTTATTGCATACCTTTGAAATATGTCAGTGAATAATGATTAGAAGCTTTCATCATCGAAGTATAAAAAATTTTATAAGTGTCTCCGTGATTGCTATCAGATATCGTCACGTCACTTTCCAGCGTACCAAATCAGTATTGGCGATAAAAATTGAACCGGAAGATCATGAACCGGGTCGAATGATACTCGAGCAAAAGGTGATGCTAAAGCTTCGGGGAACACCGCATATACCACAATTTGTAAATTTCTCTTTTTTTAAAAAAAAAAAAATTGTTGAATACACTTACATTGCTGCATTCTGTGTATTTTACTAACAAATTTGGTGGTAAATTTTTGTTGAATTCATAATTCTTTTTTCTTTCGAGTCAAAGAAATAAATTTAAATGTAATATTATTGATTTAAATGCTATTTCAGTATGCAAGTGGTAATTTTTGTGGTTATAATTTTATTGCTATGCAAATATTGGGCAAAAATTTAAGTGAACTAAGAAAGCATCAGCCAAAGAGACGTTTAAGCATTTCAACAGTTTCTCATGTGGGATTGCAATCAGTGACAGCTTTAAAAGCTGTCCACGATATTGGATATATTCATCGGTACATGGATTTGTGGTTTGTAAAGAAGCAAAAGCAAAATTTAAGTTTGAATTTATTTCAAAAGATGGTACATCTGACAAAAGATATTGCAATACAACGAATATTTTGCTATATAATTTTGCAGTTTAGACTTACTTCTTCAAGAGATATCGTGAAGAAGTCAGTTTGCAATAATTTCAACAATGCCAGAAGTTATTGCAACATTGACAGTGCTAGATGAATTTAAAATTTCTAAAATAGCTAACGTTTAACTGTTTAGTGCTTATTTCGATTAGATTAGCTTTATGAAATGAAATAAAATCCACCTGGCAATGTCATAGGTCAACTCAGATCACAAACTTTTTTATTATATATATTTTCAGAGATGTAAAACCTTCGAATATTTGCATTGGACTGCACCCGCACAGACGAACAATTTATATTGTTGATTTTGGTATGGCTCGACAGTACCGCTTTGATGACGGTGTGGTACGGAAGGAGAGGTATTATGCTGGTTTCCGTGGAACCGTGAGGTATGTATCCGTAACGGTACACGAGAGACGTGATCAGGTCAGTTCACTTATCACACATAGAATTTAAGATAATGCTAGTGGGATAATATAATTATTTCGTACTTTAAAACTTCAAAAGGAATGCAACTTTTGAATACTTTGTATCTTATCCTGTCATCGCTTCCTTTCTTTTTCAATTTCAAAAGTTAGTCAATTAAAGGTAACTTTTTAAGTTGATTACTAAAGATGCCGTAGCAACCACAGTGATAATTTCTAAAATTGTGAGTTTCTAAATCATCTTCCGACTATGACAAGTAATTAAAATGATTGTGTTCATCTAATTATCTTTATCTTTAGGGTCCGGTCGATGATTTCTGGAGTTTATTTTATTCATTGGTTGAGCTTATTCAAGGTTCTTTGCCATGGAGTGCATTTGTAGAGCCGGATGAAATTGCAAAATTCAAGAAGAATGTCATTTTTGATGAATTTGGAAGGTTACATAATACAATAATTTCGTGAAATTTCTCGTATAAAAATTTCTTTTTCTGTGAGAAGAAAATTTCTTTACAATTTTATCAAACTTTGTGGAAAAAGCATTGAAATATTGTGCAAATGAAAAGAAAAGTTTTAATATTTTCCGGAAATATTTTTTTAAATCCAATTTATTTGGATGATTGTTTAATTAGTGCAGCGTTTATTACTTCTCTTAAATTGTATTTGCACTATTTATTAGAGAGTTTCTAATTTTTAATAAATGATTCAGTGTTTGTCAAAAGAATTGAAAGTAAAATTAATTGTCCTCAAATAATGTGTGAAAATTATTCTGAAAAGTAAAGAAAGTACTGAGAGAGAGAAAATAAAAAGAATAAAATGTAAATAATTAGAGAAACAAAAAAAAAATTTAGTTCAAATTAAAAAAAAAAAGAAAATTGTTTATTTGAAATTGAATTTATCATTAACAAAATGCAACATTTTTAAGATATTTTGTTATCAAATAGATCAAAAATATAATTTTTATAATTCAAATCAGAATTGATTTTTTCAAAAATTCCTTAATTAAGATTAGTACCAAAGGAAATGGAAACAATAATGAAACATTTGTCGCAGTTGCATTACCATCAAATTCCCAATTATGAACTACTTACAACGGAACTTAATGTGAGTTATAAGTAATTCATTATTTCGACAGGTTTTTAAAATTAAAATTTAATTGCATTTGTTCAACAAAATGCTTACTGCTTAATTAGCTAATTGACATTGGACATAAATTCGACTTGATTGATAACTAAAAATTTAATTAAAAAATTTATATCTTAAAATATTTTAAAACACAAGAAAGCTACCATGCTTTCAACAAATTACTTTCTCATTTGGAAAATTCAAATAATTGAAGAAAGTTCATTTAAGTTCAAACTTTTCTCTCTTAAAAAAAATTTGAAGAAAAGTTTTGCAGAAAATGTTACCAAAAAATATGCCAGAAGATTTGCAATATGACTGGGAAACAACGCAAAGTGACATAAATTAACTTATAGAAATTACAACAAACTACAAATTGTCAAATTATACCAAAAAAAAATGCAATAAAACTTAAAACAATCAGAAAAACATTCATAAACTAATTTCATTTCACTTTTTAAAATCGAAATTTGCACCATTTCAAATTAAAAAGTGTCAGTTTCTTCGTTAATAAAAATCAAAAAATTTTTTTTATTTCTATTCTTTGCTAATAATTTTGTAAGGAAAAAAAATGAAACAATAGTGTTTGTAGTATTTAATATTATCTTCAAAAATGAATAAAATTTAAGATTTTTGAAAAACGACAAATAAATTTAAATATTTCCTAAAAAAAGTACTAATCAATTCTGCACTTATGATCATGAAATCTCTGGAAGTAACTGATATGATTGATCTGATCTTTGTGCAACTGATCAAAAAATCGCAAAGATCAAAATCAGTTTTAAAGATCCAATCAATTAATTAAAAATTTATATTATTCGGATAATTCGTTTGATAGTTGGAAAAAGCTTTTGGATTTCTCTGAAGTGCTTGTCGCTGCTTTTCCAAGAAATTCTATTTAAATTTGTGAATTTTTATTTAAACAATCCAAATTATTTAATATTTAGCATTTTGCTAAAGCTAAGAGAAAACTGATAGCATAAAAAATATTTAAAAAGTTTATTTGTTTTCGAAATTTGAAAAACTGAAATTTATGCTATCATAAATGAATTACTTTGCTTTTGTGCTGTCTGTCATTTATTAGCATTGTTTTTATGATTTCCGTAATTGCGTTGGCCATTTACGTCGTACGTAGCATTATTACGTCATTTATTATTGAAGTGAAAACCACACGTAAACCCATATTTGCATTGGATGGCTATTAGATTAGAAAGAAAAAAAGGAGAAATTTGGGTAAAGTTCTGTTCACCTATATTTTCTTTTTTATTCCTACACATTATCCATTTCGAGATAATTCTTTCCTCTACCCATCCTAAAAATCAAAAATACCCAAAGTGATTTTTTTTTTTAAAAAAAGATAAAACAAAAAATGTGAAATGTTAGCACAAACTTTTAAAATATTTCTGAAGACATAACTTTGAGTTAATTTTGATTTTTCTGGAAAAAAAAATTCAATTCGATACGAAACAATTAGTATTGCAAATGTTTTGCTAATCTCATTTCTTGGCAAAGAAACAATTTTTCATAATTTTCCTTTAGCAGAATTAAACAAAAACGGAAGATAAACGGAAATTATCACATCATCCTTCCACGTTATCAATCAATTCAACTGGGTGCACTGATATGCCTGGAAGTTGCGTATCTTTACGTGATCAGTTTACGTGATCAGTAAATTTGAATAGATAGAATAAGATGAATATTTAATAAAATTTAGAAACACTTTTACTAACACTTGCAAAGAATGTTTTGAAATAAAAGAATGCCATCATTAGAGTATTTGATGAAAATTTTAAAAATTTTCCATATTCATATTTTTTTATCAAAATGAAATAATATATATATATAAATGATAAATGATTGAATGTTATTTTAACTTTTATAATTTCTAAAATTGCCTCTGAAAGTTTCCACTTTTTCTTATTGCTTCGGCAATAGGAATTAAATTAACGGTAAATAGATGTCAGCAAATTTCCCTCAAATAGAAATGGAAAGTTCGAATGATTACGAAGGTGTCTCCTCTGATATTAGCAATGTTATCAATTCTTTTCTGTCTGATAATTAGCAGAAATAATCAAATATTCAAATGATTAATCAGATTTAACATTAATTATTTCAAAAAATTTTATTACAAAACGTTTAGCTTTTTTTGCTTAACGTTAAAAACTGTTTTTTAACATTCAATTTCATATCATTTTTGCAGTTTTGTCATTTGTAATGTGGAAAATGGCGCAAAGTTTCTTCTTATTAATTATTTTATCACCGCTACAAATGTGTTGTCGGAAGAAGAAAGCAACAACAAATGTTTCCGGAAAAGTAGCACAGAAGACGGATGCTTCAACTGATACAACCGGTGCCGCTGCGCAGACCGCCGTAGAAGTAAATGCGCGGAAAGCTGATAAAAAAGTTAGTGATAAAAGATAAGAGAAACGGAATGAACGTAGTAGAATGGAATGAAAAATTTAAGTGAATGCAAGAACTTTGGAAGACACAGCAAACAAATATGTGTTTGCAGGTATCTCTCGAATGTCCCCTTGAAAATCAGTCACTGAAAAAAAGGGAATAAATTTTAGGACAAAAAAAAAAAAACAAAAAATGAAAATTTTTTAAAGATAGGAGTAAAAAGAAGCACAAATGAGAAAACAGATCAATGGGTAACCTTCAAGAGATACCCATTTTTTAGATATCCACTTTTATAGATACCCAGATACCCACTCTTTTACCATTTCAAAAATTTCAGTTTGCTCCTAAAATAGATCGCTGTTTAAATGACGTAAGACTGTTTTACGTCTAAATTGATTCTTCGATATAATTGGGAAGAGTGAACTAATGAAGTGTTTCATACTTTATATACCTGTAGGACTAGGATAACCACAAAAGAAACTTTCAGTTCACTAAATTAAATAAAAAAAAAAAAAAATTTGGTTGAAATAGTTGAAAATAGGATAGAATGAATGAAATTCAATCACAAAATTATCAGAGAGATTATCACAGATATTAAATTTTTAGAAAGATGAGCCAAGAAAAGATGATCATACTCAAATGGAAGGATCTGAAGAAAGTAACTTAGAGTAAGTGACTTGAAACTTTCCTCTGTATAAATTCCATTGTTGAAAAGTTTTAATTTATAGTTTGGAAATATATTAAAACTTTTTAATTACACTTCTTGTTTGTATCTATCAGTGCAGAATTGAAGAGTTTATAATGCATTACTAAATTCAAATGTGAATTTATCTAAAAGATACTATAAAGTAATGGACTAAGAAGTAATCAAATTCAAAATTATGGTTAAGATGAAATAGATTTAGTGATGAATGATTTAATTGCAGAAAAGCAGATATCATACCAATGAATAAAGTTAAAGTTATGGGTAACATTGATGAATTTCGTAAGGTAATCAAGAAATGAGTCATCGTTATTTACTTTAATTTAATGAAAGTAAGTGGAAGTATACTTTATATTATTGTAAGAGTAATACAGTCACAGAGTAAAGAGTAATTGTTAATTTAAAGGCAAAGAAAATGGAAATGGAAAAGGCAGCAGAAGAGATTAAATCAATTCATGAAATGGACAATAAGAAAGCACTCAATACTGTGATGCATTCAAATCTTCATGTTACTATCAAAGAGAATAAATGCAAACTTTATGAGACAAACGATGAACCAACGCTTGACGACGAGGCAGAGGAACCGCTCATTTAAGCGTCGCTCACGTCAAATGCGTCAATGTCGCATATATTTATCAAAATTATCACTTTCAGCACAAATTTCGATTTAACGACTTGTAGTTTAATTCAGTTGTAAAATAATGCTTATATGAAATATATTAAAATGAAAAGCATAAATGTTAGTATCATAATTCATTGTTGTGTCATTTGTTTGAGACATAGATCAGTGGGTCTGACATATGGATCAGTGGGTTTGACACATAGATCAGTGGGTCAGCATGAATGAAAAAGTGGCGCTTTTCACATTTTGCGCACATTTCTAAATTTTCTATGAATAATTTGGGAGAAATTCTTGTAACTATTTGTTTTTCTGTGATTAATTTCATCCAGTTCGGCATTTTGATGATATTTTACATCGCAGAGTACTTTTGTGACAAAGTGTGACAATGACGCCAAATGACAGTATCAGATGCATTTTATTGGAAATTTTATTGAAAATGACTAACTCAGTGTATGTTACTTATGAAATTCGACAAGTTGGATTACTCAAATTATTTGTTTGTGTTTGCTGCGCAAGTTGCAGTTGCGCTTCTTTATTTTCAAGTTTCTTCTTCAACTTTTTTGTCTTTCGATCACTTTCCACTGCTCGCCGTTTCAGTTCAACCAAAGTTAATTTACTGAAGTTAAACTGAGAGTTACTCTATTAGTTTCAGAAAATATTAAATTAATAAAATAAATGCTTTCAAAAGTAAAAATTAATAACAATATTTTGGTTTTTCGTTAGACCCACTATTAATTCTTATGTTATATTTAATTAATTTTAATATTTAACTCAACTTAACTCAGTTATTTACCGTGAATCTAATGCTTGTTCCAAAGCCACCTTTAAACGCTTCGTCCGTTCGGTATTCTTCCGGATATAACTGAAATCATCTTCCAAAGTGTTCAGCAACTTTTCTAGTTCTCTAATACGTTTGAATCCAGTGGTTGAGCTTTGTTCCATAAACTTTTCTAAATTTCCTGCTTCCATTGCAACATTTTCTTCCTAAATTCGATGACACTTTATCCGATTTCTCATTGTTTTTTTTTTCGATCACAAATTACAGATAATGTTTTGTCACAATTTCAGAAGTTTCAACAAAAAATCTTTGTTAAAATCTCAAAAAATTTTGATGGAAAATTTCAAAATTATTTTAAGAATATAATTCCTACTGGAATTTTCTTTCATTCATTGTTATTTGTCTTGAAAAAAATCTTAAATTTTTAGTTTAAATATATTTTTTGTGGCATAAGATTTGATGATAAACATATATGTCTATTATCAGTGATATTACTGATAGTGATCTAGCTATTGGATATTAATATAATTAACAATTATGACTAGAATAAATCCTTCCACAAATTATCACTCAATTAACCTCAAATTTGGCCATTTCGACATTTATCAGTACTGTACTTAATTTCAGTCTTATCAGTTGCACTTTACTGCATTTTTTAGCATTTTGATGCTTCCAAATTGTTCGCTCATTGCATCCATCAATTATTGCAATTGCTTGAAGAGTTAATTTATGATGCGGATGAAATTTATTTTCTAATAATTCGATGCAAAGCTGTAATTTCTTTCATATTTGAATTGCACTAAAGAATGTCACTGAAAATGAATTTTAGTATTTAATTGAGAATTA